TATGGGTGCCCAGCCAGTGGTGGGATTCAGCCAGTTCGCACCAGTCCGGCAGAACAGGTAGCTAATTTTTTGTTGCCCAGGCCCAGAATGGACTTCTGGAAGTGGCATCTACATAGGGAACCAGTTGTTCACATATCTGAATCCCACCACTGTGCCCAGCCGTCTTTTTTGCAGCTTCCAATCATGCTAGTAGAGGAAACCAGCATCTCTCAAGTCACATTAATGAAGCTCCCGAAGAACCTACTTGATAGTTACAAAGTGAAGGTACCACATCCAGGCCTATAAGTACACATGAAAGCTCCCTATTGCAGTCAATTTTGTGTTCTCTTGGATTGCTATAGTTGTCATGATGTAATTTTACAGTGGGCACTATTGCTCATAACATTTAGTTCTATACATGAATGTGTTCTGAATAGGACTGATTTCCTATAGAAAACCTCAGCTATACTATATGCTATAGCAGAATGTCTCCAAAGTCAGCCTTGCCCGCTTCACAGGATTACCTCTTTCCTATAATTAAATACAATTTAAAATATATGACTTCCAGTTGTCAAAAAATGACCAGTCCCTTAACAAGTAAAGAAATCTTTTTTTTTTCCTCACCATATACCTGAAAGCCTAATTAAGTGCAGCAAGTGTCTTTAAAATGAGCTATTTCTAATGGACATCATTTTTACTCTTAGATGCAACTAGATCCATGCTCCTGCAGAGACCTAGTTGTTGGTGTCAGAAATGTGGTCAGTGGGTACAGGATGCACATCATCTGAAGTTTAGAGATATAGCCAAGGGCTATGAGAGCAATACGTAAAGTTTTGAAAAGAAGAAAAACAAAACAAACAAACAAACAAAAAAACCCAGAGGAGAGCAGAAAAACAATTTGCCATTGGCTCTCTGAAAATGCTAATGCTAAAGTTGCTGCAATCTTACAGCACATGTAAGATAAGATAACCTTTATTGTCATTTTTTTTACTGTGGGCACAACGGCACACATCAAAAATGAAATTCGCTCTCAAAGTGAACACATACATGTATGTGAAAAGGAGTTACCGAGGAGAGAGAAAAACAAATCAGATATATGACAGAATGGCCATGTATTCTGGGCTTCCCCACAGACAGTCCCTGAAGCAGTTCTACAGTCTTGGAACTGACAGATATTTCAAGTCTTGAGTCCTTGTAAGACGTCCTTTAGGCTGGCAGCTGACAACTGCCTAGTCTAAAAATCTGCTATAAATATGAAATGGTAGCCTGTGTGGCCTGTTTCTTGAATCCCCCTATAGCTGAATCCAGTAAATGACATCTGGAAAAGAGGGAGTATGATCTATTCAGTATATAGATGTGGCTTACATTGTGTCTTATTTTTCCTACGCTTGGCTTCACCAGATTCCCCTGAAGGCGGGGACCAAAAGCCATCTGATTGAGACGCTGGACAGAATAATCCTGCGGTGAAAGACTATGCTGTCATTGTTGATCTCTTTTTCGGGTCTTCTGTGTAACTTACCCTCTTTCCTTAAGGAGTTATTTGTACTCTGATATGAGAAATACACACATAACAAATGCTGATAGTGTTATTTGTTCAGTAATAGGACTAGGTTGTGTTTTTCTGACACAGCTCCAGTTGCCTTAAAGAATGGTCTGACAAGCCAAACTGTATTAGGTGAAGCTTCTCCTATAATTTCATATCTGTGACATGAAATATTTTCCTGCTAATTTTCTGCTGGGTATTTTTGCAAATCTTAGGTTAAAGGAGCCATACCCAACCTTTGAGAGAGGGGGGAGGGTCAGAATGGGCATGGTCATGGAAGGTAATAATTAGAGTAACCAAATTTCCAAAAATAAAACCAGGATACATTAATTTGGAATATATTTGCATATTTATTAATGCTAATCCATAATTTCAAGTATATGTGTAAGCAGAATTGGGCACCATATCTGCAAACTTCCAGACAACCACTAGATGATGGGGGGGGGGAAACCCAGCAGAAAACTCTATTTGCTGCCATCTAGTGATAATCTAACTTTTTGCAGCCCAGATATGATAAATGTCTATGGCAGGGGTCTTCAAACTTGGCCGTTTTATGATTTGTGGACTTCAATTCCCAGAATTCCTCAGGCAGTGTGCCTGGCTGAAGAATTCTGGGAGTTGAAGTCCACAAGACATAAAAGGGCCAAGTTTGAAGACCCTTGGTCTATGGAGATTCTCAATTCAGTTCTGGCTGTATAGTGGGGAGTGTTCTGAAGAAACTTCTTGGGTGAGAAGTGAAACATTTTCAAAGAAAAAAACCCAAGAAAGTCCAGTTGCTTTTTGAAAAGCATCTTTGGCACACCCAGACATGGTAGCTCTTAAGGACCATGAACAGTCAAATGTGCATGTTGATTTTTCCTGTGCCAGAACTTATACTGATACAGCCACTGACCAGGCTGTCAGAATGTTGAGTCTCTAGAAGGAGTACAGAGAAGAGCAACAAAGATAATCAAGGGACTGGAGGCTAAAATATATAAGGAACGGTTGCTGGAATTGGGTATGTCTAGTTTAATGAAGAGAAGGATGAGGGGGGACATGATAGCAGTGTTCCAATATCTCAGGGGCTGTCACAAAGAAGAGGGAGTCAAGCTATTCTCCAAAGGACCGGAAGGCAGGACAAGAAGCAACTGGTGGAAACTAACCAAAGAGAGAAGCAACCTAGAACTAAGGAGAAACTTCCTGACAGTTAGAACAATTAACCAGTGGAACAACCTGCCTCCAGAAGTGGTGAATGCTCCAACACTGGAAGTTTTTAAGAAGAGACTGGACAGCCATTTGTCTGAAATGTTATAGAGTTCACTGCCTGAGCAGGGGGTTGGACTAGATGACCTCCAAGGTCCCTTCCAACTATTATTATTATTATTAGCATTAGTATTATTTCTAATCACATCCCAGATAGGTGGGATCTTGTCACGCCCAGGGCCAGGATTTATCCTTTTCCCTCTCTCAAATTTTGAGCCAGTTGAATGGCAGGTATAACGGTGTTACATTTATATTAGAGCTTGTAAAGCAGGTATACAGTGATTCCTGTCTCAGAAAGATGGAAAACCATGCCGCATAATTTGGCAACTATGCCACTGAATTTTACAAGCCCAAACATGGATTTCATAGCTTCACACATTCCTTTATTGCCCATTCCTTTATTGAAGGAATAACGTACCGAAGGAATATGCAGAAGGCTGCAAAGAAAAAAAAATCCTTATTTTCAATTTTTATTCAAATATTAGCAATATTACTACTGGTAATATTTGAATAATGCTGAGGTGCTGAAGAGACTTTTCTGGGGTTTTGGGAGGTGAGGTGCTTTGGGAGGTGTTTTTTTTTTTTAAGGTGACTCCTTAAAAAACATGATTTCACCCAAATTATCTTGGAAGGTGGGGAATGAAGGCACAATTCAAAGTGAAGAGGACTTTGAAAATGATGTTTTGTAGGATCCTGAGTTTCCTTGGGAGCGATTCAGTTTTATTCGGGGACAAAACTGTCCCTGGTGTATTCCAGGATCCATACTCAGTTCACACAGGGAGACTGCTAGATCCAGAAAGTCTGGCATGTGTCATGGATGCACTAGGTTGATGCTCTCTCGTGCATCCAGCCTCTTCCCAACGCACAATTTCTTCCATGTCTCAGGTGCAGGAATTACTTAACAGCAGGAAAACTCTGAACAGTTTTTGATTGTTTTTATCTACTAGAGATGAAAGGCAGAAATAGAGTTTACTTTCTGATAGAAATAGAGTTTACTTTCTCATAATGTCCAATGTAACTCTGTATCTCAAAAGCAAATCTGACAGAATTTAACTCAGTAATACTTCTCTATATATGTCCTTGTATCCTATCCAAAATTTGAGTTTCCCTTAACATAAAGTCTTAATATTCTGGCTCCAAAGAGTCTGTTAAATCAAAATAAATATTCAAAAGCTTAGATAGAACTTACAGTAACTTTGAATCTTATCTTAAGTTATATACTTTGCTTACTATACTGGTAATATTTATGTATTACTTGGATTTTAATAACCATCTGTATTTTTTTAAATGATATAATATGCTCATGAATTACATGAATCCAATGAATGAAATATTGAAAATTTTAATCTTATGACACTTACAAATTCTGTTTACTAACTCCTTGTTTTAACTTTCTGAATTTTCTTCAGCTTTTTTTTCTCTTCTTTCTTTTTTCAAATTCTTAATAAAACGTCATTTTAAAAAATGAAAACCACTGCAGTAAAAGTACCTTAGCTTTCAAATATTAGAAACCTTACCGCTCACTGTTCCTTTGTTTCAAGAACTCAGAGGAGACGCGTCTCTAACTAACATCAGTCTTTGATAAACATTTGATTTGGAGGCATTCAATGGAGGATACGTTTACGTGGCTGTTGTTTTTGAAATTAAATAGGAGTATAAATAGCTGTGTTTTGTTGAAGACTCCTTGCAGGGATGTCTTAAGTTTTGAGATGTGTGAATGAGCAAGTGGGCGAAAACCCCCTGCAGAGAAACAAGTTCTCTTTTGGAAAACAGAGAGGTATAAGGAGAGAAACTGCTTCAAATGTTTTTACCATTTTCTAGCAATGGCCAGAAACGAATCCTTGTGGATTCCAACTACTTCTGTCTAGAGATATTGGTTTCACCTTATTGCACAATATGTTCTGATGGAAGTATTCTTAAGACAGTCTACTCTTTTGGGGTACATGTCCTTTGGATAAAAACAGTAATTCCGGTTCATTCTTTTGATTCTTGAAATATCCTCGTCTAGAGAGAATAGATAGGGTTTCATAAAAGGCTTCTAATTTTTCTGGGAAGAGATAGATATGTTAATCTGAAGGGCCAGAGAATGGAGAGGCTGATTGAGGACCACAAGGTGTATCCTTTAGAGCACGAAAAATAATGTTAGCATGATTTCTAGAGGAGGCAGATTAAGGACGGGAGGTAATAACTCACCCCTGTGCTAATTCCTGATTTAAGTCTTCTCTTTTTCCGCCAGGCCTGCTGTGATTTACCCTCCTTGGGGATGAACAGAGTGCCTCCTGGTCGCTGACAACTCTAGCATTCACTGCAGGATGGCCCAGCTCATCCATGCCCTTTGGAGCCTGTGCATCACCACTGTCCTTGTCACCTCAGCCACACAAGGTAAGGGCAGTGCTTTTTTTGTAAAAAAAAAAAAAAAAAGGTGCCGGAACTCACACATGTCATACAACCTGCTTTGCCTACCCTACAAGGTTCCATCCAAAAAAGGTGCCGGAACTCCGTTCTGGGCGTTCTATGACAAAAAAAGCCCTGGGTAAGGGGAACAGAGGATTGACATCCCTCAGGAAGGAGGACAGCTTCCAAAACAGGGCAGGCCTTGCAATGAATTAAGTCATGAGCCTGCGCCACCCGATGCTAGAAAAAGCTGAGGAAGAGAGGCATTTTCTTTTCTAGACAAAATTTAAAAATATGAATTCTGTTGCAATTTCAGAAATAAAACCTTTTATTTTCCTTTCACAATAAACAGTAAAAAGAATTTTAGAATAGTGTTTAGCAACTTCCCTTGACAATGTCAAAATATTTTCTAATTAAGTACTAAAAATGGGACTGCTTTATTTAGAAATGCACAGTGTTTACAGTTGAAATTTCTGTCTCTTTGTCTCCTGTATATAGGTACCTGATCAAATTGTATTTAATATCACATCTTCCTAACTAGTACAAAGAGGCTACTTGCCTTCCAGTTCTAAGGTCCTGGGGTGGGAAAATATGAGCAGCAAAATGGATGAGCATGCTAACATTATCAATCTTGTAAGCAAATAACCTGAAGCTGTTTTTGGGAGACGCAGTTCTAGAAATAGATGGTTAGATATGCTCATTGTGAGGTAACACATTTTTCTGCAAAATTAGCAGGCTATTTTGGTGCTCATACTAAATTTATACACCTGGAAGGTTTTTGGACATTTCTAGCAACTACTATGACTGCTATCTTTTTTTTTTCTGGTAGGCATCCCTTATTTGTAAGAAGCATAGAAAAAGTGAACATTAAGAAGGAAACCTTGTCTAGCAATGAGTTTCCAACTAAAGCCTTTTTAGATAGCTGAAAAGAACTGTCTGGTAAGAGAATCTGGGGGGAAAAAAGAGACCAGGTTTTTTTTTTTATCAAATCTTGGACAAGGCAGATGGGGAGAAAAATAACTAATCTTGTTCCTCAGCTGATGCCTATCTTCTGTTTTTATGCTTGTTGAGCCTTCCAGTCATGTTTCTTTTCATCTTGGCAAATGAAAAATCAACAAATACTTTAGTTCATCCTGTCATACACATTTTCCCCACATTAGAGCAGCTTTCTCAGATTTGGCACCCTTCACATGTGTTGGGCATTCTGGTAAGGATGACTGAAATTGTAGTCCATTGAAGTACATATAAAGATCCTAGATGGGATAAAGTTGGGGGAAAAAATAGGTTGATTATTAATACGTTTCAACTGTTGGCTAGGTATTAATTGCTTTCCAAAATACCCTCACATGTTGCTCATACATGTGATATACGATCAATGTACAGTGGATATTAAGAACAGGAATCCTGGTTATCAGAATAACAGAATAACAGAGTTGGAAGGGATCTTGAAGATCTTCTAATCCAACCTCTGCTCAGGCAGGAGACTATCATTCCAGACAAATGGCTACCCAGTCTCTTCTTAAAAGCCTCCAATGATAGAGTACCCATAATTTCTGGAGGTAAGCTATTCCACTGGCTAATTTTTCTTGTTATCAGGAATCTTGGAGGTCTTCTAATCCAACCTCCTGTTCAAGCAAGAGACCCTATACCAGTGATGGCGAACCTTTTATTTGTTTATTTATTTATTTATGAGACTTATATACCGCTTTAAGTACAAGCACTCTCTAAGCGGTGTACACCAGTAAGCAATGTATATATATATTTACATTGCCCCCCACAATCTGGGTCCTCATTTTACCTATCCCAGAAGGATGGAAGGCTGAGTCAACCTTGAGCCGGTGAGATTTGAACCGCTGACCTGCTGAACACAGTCAGCTAAAGTGGCCTGCAGTACTGCACTCTAACTGCTGCGCCACCTTGGCTAAGAGACCAAGTGCCCAAAATCCGCCCCCTGACCCCACTCCGCCTCCTCTCCTGCCTGCTCCGCCCCTGCCCACCCCCTGCCCTGCCCGCCCGCAGGGCCACGCACCGCCTCCATGGCCCGCCATAGCAGATCGCCCAGGTAGCCCTGCAGCGCCCTGGCAGCCATGCTCTCCGCCCACACCCTGCAGCATCATCTGCAAGCTATGGAGCGCGAGAGTGGAGTCTTGTCCCTGCTGCCCGGCTATCCTCTTGGCTGCACTGCTCCGTTTTGCCACACCCAGGGATGACACTCCTCCAGGGGGGCTGCTGGTGAGGAGGGAGCTGCGGGGGGAGGCAGGGCTGGGGCAACGGCATGTGTGCCCACAGAGAGGGCTCCATGTGCTGCCTCTGGCACGCATGCCATAGGTTCGCCACCACTGCCCTATACCATTCCAGGCAAGTGGCTATCCAGTCTCTTCTTAAAAGATTCCCCTCAAGTTCTGGAGGCAGGTTGTTCCACTGGTTAATTGTTCTAACTGTCAGGAAGTTTCTCCTTAGTTCTAAGTTGGTTCTCTCCTTGATTAGTTTCCACCCATTGCTTCTTGTCTTCTTCAGCTTTAGCCTGTCCCCATAGATTTTACGTCTTTCACATCCCCATAACTGTTACAAAATATCTCTGAACAGGGACTGGAATGCAGAAAAATGCAGTAAAAGTTATCAGCTTGGTTTCAAAGAAAAAGGGGAAAATGGGTGAGGATATAACATGTGCGCCTTAGAATAAGGTATGATTTCCTATCATTCTTTGTATTTAGTCCTGCTTACATTAAATGGGGAGGAGACTGTTCTTCAGTGATTATATGGCATTTCCACATTCAATTTTATGTAATTTTAAGTATTTTCTGCTTTTGGAAACAGACATCCCATATCCCTCAAGTACTATTTCAACTCTACGGTTCCTGTAGGGGAAGGAATGGCAGAAGAAGTTTTATTATTATTTTTAAAAAATAGATCCACATACTACCATCTGCCTCATATTTTAATCTTTTGGACTGGTGATTTTCACTAGTGAGAATAGAGTTGATTAGAAGTCTCTGACTCCTGCCAAGAGAAGAATGGGCATTCACAGTCTGAGAGTACAGAGTGACTATATTTGTCTAGATCAGGGGTAGGCAACCTTTTTGGCTCTTTTATGATTCGTGGACTTCAACTCTCAGAATTCCTGAGTCAGCATAAAAGAGCCAAGGTTACCTACCCCTGGTCTAGATGAACATACCTTTGAAGATCTACCATGTTTCAGAATGCCAAGAGGAAAGAGACCAGATTTGTTTCCTAAAGTGAAATGCTCAGAATTCATAGAATGTTGCCCATAATGTTTGTCCTAAAGGGAGACACCTTCTGTTCGCTTTCTTTTACTTTGGGTTTTCAGATTTGGAATGAAAGGAAGATGGGTAATTGAGTACTGTCTATTGGAACCACTAAAAGCCAGCTGCATTTAGACCCAAACATCTTGACTCATCTGAGCATTTTTTCACTTTGATAACATCTCTTGCTTAATATACTTAACCACCAATGTTTCTTACACACATGTGTACTGGTGCATCACATTTTCTTTAAGTTCTATATATTTCAATATTTCCTGTATTTTTTACAAAAATCCCGCAAAACAATCTTTGCTGAATGAATCCCATAATGAGTTATATGACTAAGCGAATCAGTGTAGTTTTCACTTTAATTGGTGTGCTATGGTGCTTCTCCACTTCCCTTTGTACTGTGAACATAGCCAAGAAATTAAGGTGATGGAAATGTTGCTGCCTTAGCCATATGTTTTCTGTCCTAAATCTTATTCCATATCACCCTCTTGGGTTTTTACTCAGCTGAATTTGATTGGTAGTGTCAGTTTGTATGCCTAACTAAAGAATTTGAGGTAGTGTCACTTTCCCATTTGCACCTGTATGCTTTTAACTTGGCAATTTGGATTCTGAAAAAAAAAAAAAAATAAGGAGAAAACTGCTTTAAAATAGGCCTGGTCATTATAATACTGAGTACATGCAACTTGTTAAAGCCTTTCTGATGTCTACTGTAGTTGTTTGTTTTAGTATCATAGTCAGATGCTTTGGCTGTGAGTTGATAATTGTTACCTACCCTGAGCCTTTCAAATATTGAAAACTTTTATGAAACAATAAACAAAACTGAAGAAATATTTATTAGAATCATTATATCTAAGTCTTGTCTTTTGTGAAAAGTTTTGAATGCCAAAGGCAGATTATTATGGGAGTTTTCAAACTCTGTGAGTTTTCTTAGGTTTCTGTATGACAGATTTTAAATGAGAGATAAACCTGGAGAACCCTTCTCTCACGCATCAGAAAGAGAACCTTAACTTAGTTTAAAACAGGAAATCTTTTTGGAAACAAACCTTAAATCAGTTTTAAATCATGGACTCAAAGGCCTGTGTTTTAAATCAAGATCCTTGCTTAGTATATAAAGCTATAACCAGATTAAAATGAAACTTCTTTTATATTCCTCTTGCTATCAGAAAAAAAATTCTTTGGCATTCACTGAGCAAGAGATGTGAACCTATCCAGATGGAGCATGTAACTCAATGTGGTGCATGAACAAGTTTGTTTTAATTAGTTCAACAGACCATGGGTAAAATCTTAATTTTAAAAGAAATCTTGACCATCTCTTTCAGAATGGGTTGGGACCACAACTTTCCTTTAGTTTGAGTGACAAAAAAGGCTGCCTTAAGAAACTACAAGTTTTAAGCCTGCTAGACAATAAAACAAAGGTAAAGACAATTGAAACAACAGAGGGGGAAAGAAGAAAGTCCCAAACCAAATTAAAATTACTTCATATGTATAAAAGAACCAAAAAAAAAACTGTAACCAACGTTATGCTGAAAAAGCAGTTTTTGCAGCCTTGCAGAATGCAACGGCTGGGCCCAAGCATACCTTTGGGGGAAGCATGCTCCTAGCTGTGGAGAACTTTGAAGGTAATAACCATCACTTTGAAATGGATATGGAGGTAATGAGTAACTACACTATACACAAATATGTAGCCACAAAAAATAACCTGTGTACTGTTGCAAG